CTTTGCCGCGGCGGAAGATGACCGATGCTCTGTTTTTTTTTTTTTTCTTTTTTAGGACCTGGCACACCGTCCTCATGGTGTGCCGGTTGTAGGGTATAATTTGCGCATCATACATGCTTAATTGTAACATATATATAAAACTTTGATCCATTTCTTAAACAATAATATAACATTGAGTTAACGTGCATCAAAGAATATTTTAAACCATCAAAGTATAAGTTATAGCTAGTTTTTTACTCTTCATCATTGTTGTTGCTCTTTTTCTTGTTATTTCCAAGTTTGCCTACCAAAATTTGTGGCGGTCTTAGCCTCTTAGGATTTTCCCAGTATCTCACAATTAAAGACAAGATTTATTACAGATGCAAACGTCTCCACTTGTCTCCTTCCACATGATGCGAGATTGCGAGGTGAGTTACACTATGGGGTTGATTAGAAAATAACTCATCCGCCAAAATTTAGCTTAATTATTTCACGGGAAATCGCTGATAAGCTGGTCAAAGTGTCAAACGACTGACTAGAAGAACTATATGGCATTATGGCAAATAGGTGTATGGTTTAGCTAGTTGGTCTCAAAAAGCAAAAAACAATATTGCTCTAAATAGTGGTAAATTACGGAGTATTGTCTAAATTCCTAGCTATGAGTGGATATATTTTTACCCCTAAATGGGACTTTTTATATCCACATTTACCTTTCTGATTTTAACACATTTACCCCAATTCCTTTGAATAATAAAAGTTAAGCAATGTTTGGGTTTGATTAAAAAAAATATTTTTCAGCTTTTGGCTTAAAAAAAGTTAAAAAGAGTGTTTTCAAATGACAGCTTCTGCTTAAATTAATCACTTATAAGCTAAAAGCTGGAAGCAGGTGGAAGGGTGCTTTAAACTGCTTTTCACTTTTTCTATTACACAAAAAGTACTTATTTTACCAAACACTACCAACTTTTACTTTTTCAGAATTACTTTTTTCTCAAACACTACCAACGTTTACTATTAATCACTTTTCCCAAAATTACTTTAAAAATCACTTTTTTAAAGTTGAAGCAATTGCAAACACTCCTTTAGTCTGGTAGTGGTGGACAATTTGGCGGTGATCTAAATCTGCAGCGGCGCCCAATCCTGCAGCGGCGGCGGTTGATGACGACCCGCTGTGGTCCAGCATTATGTCGGCAGTAGTAGGTGGTGTGTCCAAGTGTTAGAGTTCAGAGGCATTTTTGTCATACATATAATAACTCTATTTAGATAGTTTAGCATTTATTTACTCTTATTTAGGGAGAATTATCCAAACAAAACTAGTATACTCTAGAGAGGAATGATTCGATATTAGGTATAACTATTTGCCCATTTTTGCCCTTGTTTGTGAAAAAATAATGGGGATTCAACAACAGCTCCAGCTCAATTCCTCATATGAACCAATGGACATTTTTCACTCCTTAACCGTTATCATATATATAATAGTATTTCACTTGTACATTGCATATATATAATACTAATAATAGTATTTCACTTGTACATTGCACGGGAGTGCGTCAATCGCTATGAATTAATGTTAATAAGTTGATAAAATGGCAATCTAAAATACTATTTATAATTAGAGATTTATATATTCATAATACAAATAACTACCAACTAAAATTTCAATTTATTATGAACCTTTTCTTTAAGTGTATATATTTTTCAACTATCGCATATAGGTCTATAGGAGAATGGATTTCAATGTGTGTGTGGGTGTGTATATTAAGGGTATATATTAAGCTTGTCAATTGCCATGGAGACAATTGCAATGTGTGCGTGCGTGTACTCTCTATATATTATGGTCTGTGAGAATATTGAAAAAATCATAAATTTTTTAATATAAGAATTCACTTTCATTAAAGACAATTGCTTTCATTAAAGCCAACTTTTAAAAAGTTGCCAAAACTTAAAAGTTGCAATAATACTTCCAAAAAACGGGACAAATATTTACATTAAATAATAAATTGGTTCTTTTATGCTTGCTTAACCCCTTTAACTCACTTTTGACCTGATCTTTTGGTGGGAAAATGACTTACTTTATCTCTTTCTTTTATATATAGTAAGATTCTCAACTTCGGTTAATATTTACTAATTGAATAGAGCATACTTAATTATGTTGTATATTTGTGTTGCAACTTAGTTGTGCTTATTTTCATTCCATTTATTTGTCTACGTGTATATATTACTACGTATTAGTTAAACATAATACTTGTATAGATTAATTGCATCTCCTATTCTCCTTTCACCTTTTCCCTTCTCAAATTTGGTACCGGCTTTAAGTTCTTGAGGTCTGACTTCTTAGATGGAGGCAAACAGGTATGCATATTATGCAATCATTTTATTGATGTTGATTGCTTGCTTACACAAATTTTACTTTTGATATTGTTGGGATATTGGGCCGAAGCCCAATACCCGGCCCAAAGTAGCTAAGGGCCCAAGGAACAGAGCAAGCTCAAAGGGAACTCAAACCAGATTCATGAGATCCCAAACGGGAACTGAGCCGTCGATAGAGACACCGTTCGGCATGTCCCGAATAGACCAACTATCCTACTTGAAGCAAATAAAGCATCAGCCCTGTCCATCAACCTGGGGAGTCTAGAGGCCGATCGGGGAGTCCGCAAGTGACAAGCTGCATCGAATGCTAAAGTATAGCTGCATCGAATGCTAAAGTGACAAGCTGCATCGAATGCCCAAGTGGCAACGACAACAACCAAACAGATTCGACCACATCATCACCCATCTACCCCTTTCTAGTATAAATAGACACATTAACTTCATTGTAAAGGCTTAACATTTTGATACTCAGAGTCTTAGATAGAATTATCACTCCAGTTCTTGTATTAGTCACTATTCCGAAGCGCCGTTCGGCCTATTCTGTGTAATCAACGTATTACTCTAATACAAGCAGGCTTTCGAATGCATCTTATCCACCTTTTATATTTTAAACACTTTTATACCAAACCCATCATCCTTAATATCAAAGTTGGTGTAGGGCTTTCGGATCTACGGGAATAAGCCTCAACAGATATAATCATTTTAGACCAATATAAAAAAGGGTCAAATACTTTCTTTTTTTTTTTTTTTTTTTAAATTTAGACACATACTTCTTTCATAAGAATTCTAGGTCCAATAGATGTACATATAAAAATTACCAGAAAGTCTAATAACAAAACTCTGTAACAATAATAAACTTGACCTCTGGGTAATCCAACAAAGATAAAATCGCCAGAGAAAAATGAGCATCATTAATGGTGCAAGTTTGATGGTCTCAAGAAAGAAAAAAGATTGATCTAAAAATAAATAAATTAAAGAGAGGATAAGATTTAGAGGCCCAAGACATGGAGCATAATGGCATTCTGGGCATGCATCTTGTTTTCAGCTTGGGTGAACACAATTGAGTTTGCTGCTTCTACAAGCCCATCAGTCATCTCCACCCTCTTTCTGCTGGTAAACAATGCATGAAATACGCTTTCGGGCCCGCTAATTTATCATCTTTTCATCTACCTGAAACCCTTGAAAAACTTTACGTCGATGTGCTGCTTCTTCCTTTTGGCCCATGGAGGCCCAAACATCTGAATAAACAACATCAGCTCCTTTAACAGCTTCCTTTGGGTCATTAGTTATTTCAATTTTGCCAACTCCCGCTCGTTGTGCGACTTCAACCGTCTTCTGATCAGGCTCAAACCCTTCTGATCAGGCTCAAACCCTTTTGGGCAAGCACAAACAAGGTGGAAAGGAATCACAGAAGCTAACAATAGCCAAGAGTGCACAATGTTGTTTCCATCTCCAACATAGACAACCTTTGTCCCTTCAAGATGTCCAACATGTTCAATTATTATAAGTGCGTCGGCCATTATTTGGCAAGGATGGTTATAGTCTGTCAGGCCATTGACCACAGGTACGCTTGCATATTTAGCTAGATCCAATATATCCTGATGAGCAAAACTCTTGCCATTATGATATCATTATAGCGAGAAAGAACACGTGCAACATCACGGGTTTCTTCCCGCTTCCCCATCTGGATATCATTTGGCCCCAAATATATTGCATGCCCACCAAGCAAGTAAAACCCGGTTTCAAACGAGACCCGAGTCCTCATGGATGGCTTAGCGAAAATCATTGACATTGTCTTCCCCTTAAATGGATGATATGTTTTGTTACCAGATTTTATAAGTGTCTTCACCTCTCTAGCTCTATCCAAGATTTTCAAAATAGTCTCTTTGTCAAAATCATTGATGTGAAGGAAGTCTTTCTGAGGACTGCGTTCTTTCCCACTGCTGGCGGATAAAGAGACAGCTGGAGAGGCAGTTTGACATGAAACGCATTGACGAGTTGCCAGAGAAGTGGTCTGGGGTGAAAAGGAGACTCCAGGGAACCGAAATGAAAATCCATTGGACTGACCGAACGATGAAGAAATGGAGGCAAGCTGTGACGAAATAGCAACCATTGTTGTAGATGACAAGAAAACTTGCTTGAAAAAACCCTACCTGAGAGAAGCAGAAGGCCAAATTTCCAAAACCAGGGGAGTCCCAGAAACTGAGAAGCAGAAGCCAGTTAGCCGAAGTCCAAATAAGCAGACTAGGAGGCTAGGAGCAGCCGAGCAGTACTCAGCTGTGCCGGGCCGAGGCACGACGGGCCGTGTGACATCCGGAGATGCAAGCAGGGGAGAAGCAAGAAGCCACGGGCGTCCGGAGAGCGGTGTTGCGTTCTTCGCTGACTTGGCTCCTTGCTACTGGCTATATGCGGTGGGTCAAGTACTTTCTCAGTTGTAAGATTTTGTAGTTCCAGTGTTATTACTTTTAGCACTATTAAAAAATTATAAACATTATTCATTTATTCATATCCTAGCTATACGCATTTTAGTAATTTTACATCTAAACATCTACTGTTATGCTAAACAGATACTCTTACCAATGGAATAATATTTATAATTTTTAACCATGACAACCCAATTTACCAATGAGAACCCAACTTTAGTGGGAAGCAGAGAAGGAGAGAAAAAACAGCTGCCAACAAGTAATATGCAATCTACGGAAGCTAAAACCAATGTACATTCACAAGAGCAAAACGGCGCATCTTTAATTATGATGTGATCCAAAAATTGAGAAGATGATACGGATGATACTTTTTCCAATGCAATCCCAATGATGAACAATGGCTTTTTCTTGAAAAGAGCGTCACAACAAGTATGCTTAGTTATTCATTTCTGAATGCTAATAAAGACCAAACACCAATAAAATCTGATTGCTAAGGACTCCATTTTATGAGGCAATTCCCTGACGTATAAAATTTCAATACACACGCACCACTTTCAAAGTCATGAGCAATAATGCAGTTGGTCCAAGAAGAATATGAGCGAAACTAGGCAGACTGAACTTCATGCTTCGGGGTGCATTCTTCGGCTTTGTGTGAGTTTGGTATGTATCTCCAGCAGCGTTTGTTGACCCCGCTGATTTTCTTGGGTGCTTCGGCAATCGGATTGCCTGTGCATATCATATAGTACATGATCATAAAATATACAAGAAATCGTTATTGAAGATCAGGAAAGTGTAAGAACATCTAATAACCAAAAAGAAAAAGGAAAAGAGTATGCAAGAAAGCCCCAGAAGTATTGCAAAGTAAACAAATGAGTGAAATGATGACTCTTGCAGGATCACGACTTCCAACGATCTGTTACAAAATCAACATTTTCAATCACATCACTGGTTTATCAATAGCTTAAGCATTCCTCCTTACTGAGAATCAAAGTTTAGAAAGGCGCTTTTAAGCCTTGAGACTATTTGCAGTTGTGAGGCAATGTGCAAGGCACGAGGCGGTTTGAGGCCTAACCCTCAAACCTTATGCAAAATTTCATTTACATTTCAAAAAACTGACAATCTAAAACATGTTATCAATTATAAATTTAAACATACAAATGAATCATATAAAAGTGCCACCAGGCCACGATCATAAGTTTTGAAAAGTATTTAAGATTTATTGTCCCAAAGAAAATTGAAACAGTTGTTCAACTGAGAAAAACATAGAAGAAATAGCTGGAGCCTTGAACTTTTGATATTCTGGAACAAATTGAATACAAAGAAAAGTTAGAAAAGTTGTGTTACTTCTACTGCTACTTTCGAATCAAAAGATAAAAATAACTGGATTTAATATACAGAGTAGTTCTTTCTTCAGGAACTTAGCAAGAAATGTTCAGTCTTCTGCAGGAGTTCAGAGTAGTTTTAGCCTTGTCGGTTATTTTAATTTTATAGGCATAGCTGCGTGATGATAATTGTTGATTTGGAAAATATATTTTAAGGCTTAGTGACCATTTTTTTTTGGAAAACAATAGATTCAATATAATTTTACTAAAACGTATCTAGCCTAACCAACGCTTAAGCTTCAGAAACGCCTCAACCATGAGAGGCTAAAGACTCGGTTCATTCGCAGTCTCAAACCTTTATTCACCTTTGAGATGAGCAGCCAGGAGAGTGGCTCAAAAAAGCCTTTCTAAAACCATGTAGAACATCTACTGATATTCCTTACATGATATGATATGATGATAAGATAATATTCATGGAAAAAAAGTAAAATTTTAATATAAAAAAACAATCAGACAAGTAACGAACCATCTCTATGAGCAATGCCCCAAGCCTTTCCGTGTGTTCCACTCTGCAATAGTCCCATGACTAGAAATATTAATATTAATGCTAAAATATATCAAAAAGCCAGATAATACAGCTCAAACTCGTGAAAGAATATAGTTACCTTGTAAAGATTGATCTTGGTGATTTGATAGGAAACATCGGTCCAGTGAGTTTTAGCCAATTGATAGCCGATTCCCCAGTTTGGCAAGAACTGCACCACCTCAAAGAGGTTCTTCTTCTTCTTCTTTTTCAGATTTGGCTTCTTCAGTTCAGGTGCAACCGCTGGGTTGGGAGAGGTGCTCAAATATCTCAAGGAGCTGCAAGACAGCCTGAATAAGGCAGACATTCGATCCCCCAATGCTGCCTTACTTGCTAAAGCACTCGCCATTTTCCAATTACCCAAATGCAGATTCTGTTGAGCACCCAAACTATGACGACTATAAAGCAGATAAAAGAACACAATTGCACAATCGCAAAGCTGCACAGAAATTACAATTAATCATTAAGAGAATGGTTCTTTTTATTGATCATAGATCAGAAACAAGCTTTATTTAATAAATCAGTCAGCACTACAGTCTACAGATGAAAGCAGTAAACCTTGTGCTAGAGTTATTCCTTCGATTTTAAAAAAGTCAACACTCAACGAAATCATCTCAAGACAATAAACTGAAAAAGGCATTTAGATGTTAAACTGGAATCTACTGCAATCTTTTGTAATACTACATTGGGCATTAGTTAATGAAATCATAAAAATGTAACTAGTACGAATGTAATACTAGAGAAGGAGATACTTAAACCCGGTTGAAGTAGGAGCTAATGAGTGAGCATCATTTATATTACTTAAACCCGGTTGAAGTATAAACTGTAATACTAGAGAAATAGAATTGAGGTTAGAGTTGTTCACTTCTCAGGCGCCGTGCTCCGAACGTCCGACGGCCTACTAGCACCAGCGAAGTGAGCGAACAGTCACCGGAGCAGCGATTGGCCGTTTCAATTGCCTATTAGCGATTCTGCGGTGGAGTCAGCGCGGCTGCGTCCTTGATTTGGAGAATTGGAGTAGCACGTGTGTGAGTGTGTCTGATTGGGTATTTGGGCCACTGATTTAATTTTGGGCTGGGAGAATGGATTGAACAGAAGTTTCACACTTCTATATTACAAAAATGAGGGTGAGCCTGCATATATAGAGCCCGTTTGGTAGCACGAAAATCGGCTGTTTTGGTTGTTTCTGCTGAAATTTATGAAGTTCTGGCTGAAGTGGCTGTTTTGGCTGATTCTGCTGATTTTAGAAAAAAATATTTTAAAAATATATTTTATTAATAAAATAAAGAAAAAATTACATGTAAAAATAGCTAAAATGGTCATCTACAGTAACTTCAGCCAATACAGCCAGAAAAGTAACTCCAACCTTACTTTTTCTGCTTATTACACAATTCAGCACGCGAAAGTAAAAATTACGTGTTTAGTGAAAAAGCTGGCTGATAAGCCTGATAAGCCGAAAAAAGAGGTCTCCAAACGGGCTCATAAAGTAACGAGTTGAATATAAACTACTTCGTATAAACTACTTCATTATGGGATGGAATTCACATTTCATCTTTGCTCGAGTGCCCGATGTAAATATTGGTAAACTTTTAGAGGGTGGCAAGGAGAGGCTACTGCAGGGGCGGATCCAAAAAGTCATAATGGGGTGGGCTAGGGAAAAAATTGAAATACACTTACGTAATAATAAGTCTAGTCATTAACACTTTAAATATTCATCAAAACATCATTTAAGTTGTGCCTTACGCGACTTCAAAGTATAAAATTCATCAATAATAGAATCTACATCTATCTTATTGGCAAAATTCATCTTGCACTATTGTAGGTATAGGTTCAGAACTTCCTTCACCAGTTTGACGATTCACTTTTGGAAAGAATGATGAAATCAACACCTTTCCTTTCTTGGCATGTGTTCATTATCCATTCTAAAAAAACATTTGTATAAATTAAAAGACTTATATAAAAAAATATAACTAATAAGGAAAAACAATCGTTGTGCATAAAACTAATAAGTATTCTCAATTTTCAATTGCATAGTAAGTAGTAACTAAATCATTTTCTACAATTTAATTCTATCTTTAATCATTAAAATTATAATGAATTAAACACTACTCCGTATTTAATTATGTACTGAAAAATTCTATTAAAAATCAGAATGATTTCCTAACCCTAAAACTAAAAAATGCTAAAAATATATTAATACAAAACTCTTCATTATAATACGGTTATAGGGTAGAACACATAACTCTTTCAGAATTCATTAATTCACAAATACAATCTAACATTTAACACCAAAAGACCAAGTCAGTCAAACTAATAAATTAAAAATCTAAAAGATAAGTACAATTTGGACTTTGGAGTACCTGGAGGCCGGCTGGAGTCCTGGAGGGAGGCAAAGGCAGACAATCCAGATAAGAAGCAGGGACGGCGGACGACGCAGGTGGGCGGGCGGCGGCGCGGCTGGTGTTCAATTCTTCCTCGCAGGTTCAAGCTTCGATTTTCCCTCTTTGCACATCGATCGGTCCTTCAACGCTCAATGCTCCGCGTAAGTCAGAAGGCCGAGAAGTGGAGAAGGATTAGAAGACCAAGTTTGTTTATTGGGCCGTGGGTTGGGCGCCTGGGCTGGGAATTAACTCTGGGGCTGGGCTGAGAAATAATTTTGGGATGGGCTGACAATATAACATATACCTACACTACTTAAAAAAAAAAATTGAACTGGGCTGAAGCCCACCCCTGCCTTAACAGTGGTCCGCCCCTGTTGACAGGCTAGGGGATAAAAGAAACGTAAGAGGAAAAAAGTGTGAGAAAAAGTGGACGTTGATAGATCAACTATGTCTTTACCTTCTGAGTGGCATCAGAAATGTGAGAGGACTAAAGATAGAGTCTTGCGCCAACAATGTTGGAACAAACAAGAAGGATATAATAGACATTTTATTATATTTAATTAATTAATTTTGGTCAAGGGTTGTGTTTAGTAAAATAGGGCACTCATTTAGAATTTCCCATTATATATATATATATAAATATATATATATATATAAATATATATATATATATATATATATATATATATATATATATATATATATATATATATATATATATATATATATATATATATATACTTTGTATATACTAGTAACGAAAAATTGAGGGTGAGTTTGGGACCTCCCTAGCCCTAGGCCCAATCCACCACTGGGTGCCACACTAACCAGAAAGAGAAGACATAGTTGAAATAGACGAGGGAGCGCGAAGTATCTGGAAAACATTTAGGGGTTCGAGTAATTGGATTTTTGTGATGTATAGACTTTGGATTGTTCAAGGAAATGTTAAAACACACCTAATTGGGAGCGGTGGATCCAATTAGAACCATACGGCTAATTGACTAGAGAATATTCTGACGATTGATTGGTATAGACTAAAAATTGATGAACCTTTACTAAGAAAATGTCTGGATAAGCCACACGTGTACAACACACAACTGGATACTGTAACTGACTCGATGACGTTAGCCCTCAAGTTGACTATTCTCTGATGATGTTTGTCTATGCTTATCTGGAGTGAATGCTTGATACATCTAAGTCCACACTTCTACGCAAAGGTCTTAGCTCAGACATGGAGGAGCTCACACAAAGGTCTTAGCTAAGACGTGGAGGAGCTCGACTCGAATGGTAGGAAGCCTAGCTCAGAAATGTTGTTGCTTTAGCTTTGGTACAATGGGCTTGGGTTGGGCAATATCTATCCCTTGTGTAGTGGCGGTTGGCTCAGGTAAATTTCGACTGTTTTTTGAAGTTGATATGTTGATTTGGGGCGGGCTCGGCTCAGCTCGGCCATGATTTTGGACTTATCTCGTGGATATGAGAGCATACCCAGGCCCGGACTTAATGTGGTCGGCCTTATATGACGGGCTAGGATTGTATTTATAATAGCCTTTTAATTTGGCTAATGACTGATTAGTTTGATGATAATGCAACAATTTTACTTAAAAAAAACTCATATTTAATTTTAACGTCGTTATTAACACAATATCCTAGAGACTTAATGTAATAAAAAACAATTGTGATGAAGTGAAAAACTTATAGATAAAACCACGTTACAACTTACAATTAAAAAATGGAAGAATTTTACTTTGCACCACATGTTTTGGGTGATGTTGGACTTTTCGTCTCATATAGTTTCAAAATCATTAATGTGTGCACCCCATATGACGGGCTAGGTTATTCCCTTACTCAAAGTGCTTATTTTTGTTATGGACCTAAAACCTCCTGTATATATCAATATATGTATCTCGACATGTGGTTTTTGTTGAGAACATATTTCCTTATCTCACTCTTACACAAAATCCTAGCCCACCTCAACTAACTCCCTGGATGTCTGGACCACCTCTCATCAAATTTAAAATTCAAATTCTCCTTCCCCCAAAAATTATACCCTACGACCGACGCACCATGATGATGGTGTGCCCGGTCCCAAAATGCCGTCGTTTGTGTTTAAATATCACAAAACCTTTGTAGCTAATGGAACGCCCTCCAACAACGCCCTCCCTAGGTTTCAGTTGTCGCAATCTGTTCCGAAGCTAATGGAACGTAGTCCGGCTGTCTTGCCCGCGATTGTCTGGTTGTCACATCTGGGCTGTGAAATCAAATAACCTCTAGTTCGCAGATCTGAGAGCGGTTTGGTCCGTCGCTGGTCAGCAGGAGCTCCAGTTGTGGTGTTGTTGTTGCCGGTGAAATATGTCCTTGCTTGATTTGAGATTCAGATGCCACTGGTCAAATTTCCTTATGATGATTCATTGTCTTGACCTCAGAAGTGAAAGATAATTGAACCAGAGGATATGGAGGATGGCCACTCTGAATGATAATTGCTCCTGTATTGCCAAATCAATGGAGAGACGATTTTGAGAAGTTGCATCAATAGAAATGGAATTTACATTATTTTTAAATCAAGTTACATTTTAGTTAACATCATTTACATTTTAGTTAACATGATTTATATATATTAATTAATACTTGAAGTTAAATTACATCTCCGTAAAAACGTTTTACGTTTGAATAGCCTAAAATTACATATTCCAAATTACATCTAATTTGTTTCCAAGTTACATTTCAATTAAAGCAGTTTACATTTCAACGAGTTACATATGAATGCGTATAATTTACATTTTGATTAACTTGAAGTTACATCCCAAGTCACACGAGTTACATTTCATATAGTCATGGCTCGAGAGCATGATGCTCACCATGCACCGATACCACGGTATACGTACTGCCTTCCCCCAGTCAAACCGATAACAACCCCTCCCCTCCCAATAAAACTAGGTCCACTATTTTAAATTATCCCCACCTAAATCTCCAACCATTAATTCCCTATCTAATTCTTCTCTACCCACTACCGAGCATATCTCCCCCACCCGGATATCCACCAACAAATTAACTATACTTCCCCTATCCGTAATTCCCCCACAAATAATTTGACCTATAATGCCTCTCAACCCAAATTCTCCACCACGTTAGAAACTCCTACACCCTCTCTCTCAAATAAGTCATCCATGCACGAGTCAACCTCCATGCATGAGTCCACCTCCAATAATGGGCGGATCTATGTTGGGGGAGGGGTGGACTCCAGCCCAACCCAATTTATTTTTATTATTATAGGTATAGGTTTAATTTCCACCCCACCTCAAAATTATTGTCTAGCCCAGCCCAAGCCTACCAACTTTGTAATTCTATTTGATTATTAATTGAATATTTTTAGTAGATAGTAAAATAATTTTTATTTATTATAAATTTATAATGATTAAAGATAGAATTAAAGATTAGAAAATGATTTATTTATTATGCAATTAAAGAATAGAGAACAATGTACTTACTGTTTAGGCATGTAAGAATGAATTCAAAATCTCAATTCAATTTTAAAATTGGGAATACTTATTAGTTTTATGTACATCGACTATTTTTACTTATTAGTTTTATACTTTTATAGAAGTATTTTAATTCATATCAATAAATACTAAAATCTTTAATAATCAATTATAAAATTATAAATCACACTAAAAACGTTAAAATTTTAGATATACTACCTCTGTCTCGTTTTATTTGGCCATCTTTGACTCTTTAGTCAAAGATGGTAAACTTTGATCCATCATTTTAACTCATGTATTAATGTAAAACTTACTAAATGTATACTTTTATGATAAACTTTTTAACAAAGAACAATTCCATTTCATTTTAATATTATCAATTTTATTGTATAAATATATACTCATTCAGAGTTTAACTTCTTTGACTTGAAAAGCCAAATTAGTCTTAATAAAAGTGGGCAGAGGTAGTATATAGTTTATTTCTATAATTTATAAGTTATCAATATGCTCGAGTCCAGATCGAACTGAACATGACTATGCTCGAATTCAGCTTGAATAACTATTCAAACTCAAAAAAATAGCGGCCGTTTTTTTTTTTGTAAAAACAAATTATTTAAACTAAAATTTAGCCCGTGTTCGAGATTGAAGCTCGTTAAGGTTTGGTCATTAAATTAAATTCGAAATCACGATCGAACTCGAGTAGTTCGAAAAAAAACTCAGTTCAATAACTATCAGTCCTAAGCTAAACCTTTTGTATGCAGTAACGAAAATTTTTATTGTTTAGCCCACCCCACCCCTCATTCCTGGGTCCGCCCCCATGCAACGTAATACTCCCCCCATGTCCTCTCCACCAAAAATACATCTTTTGTCAATTACACTAATATATATAAAAATATATTTTTTTTCAAAAAAAAATTAAAATAATTATTTTGTTCAAAATATAACTGCAGTTCATATAAGTTTATAGTCATGGCCACTCACTTATAAAAATTGAACATAAATTACTATGACTAAGTCACTACTATCGTCACTACATTTAAGAGTTCACATCTTTGAAAAAAACATTTTATTTTAGTCATAGATTTGTAATAATTTCAAATAAAATTAATTTTTTTAACAATGATGCAATTTTCCCAGGCCCAAAATATATCGGGCCAAGATAAAAACATCAAAAGTCTTGTATTGTATACCACCCGACCAGTATGTATTAGGTTTGGCCGGTACAATATATATGGTTCGATTTAATTTTCCAATCTGAATTAGGTATATTTTAAATTTAGAAAGGTACTTTATAAAGATTTTCATTAGCTATTCTTAAAATATTTTTTAAAATGTTATTGAAATTGACTTATTAACAAAAATGTTATTAAAGTTACTATGAGTATAAACATGTTTACTTTAGTAAAAACTAGACATGATCATAGTCACTAAGTCATTAATTTAATATAGTCAATATGTATAATAGGCCACATTTTTATCTAACATCTTCATTTTGCTAGACTTTCTTTCTTGAATATATTTTAACTTTTGCTAGTAGTCTATTTAGATCATTTCATCATTTTAGTAATCACTTTAGACCTTAGTATTAAAACTTTGGGCTCTTATTATTGCTATAATGTTAGATTTTGTAGTTACTATAAATTAGGCCACCAATGTTTACATGTCCGATCTTCCTAAATCCTATATTTCCTCTTTCCACCTTACAAATTACGTCCCATCCTCTTTTCCTATACTCACTCCTACATCTTCCATCCCATCAACGAAAAACATACATTATCCTAACTTCAGGATGAAACTCAACGGGTGAGAGAAAGAAAACAAAAACGAAAGAGAAGGCTATTATATTATCCTCAAACCATTGCGGCTTTAGCTTTCTCTTCCTCCTAATATCATCCTGCATATATTGATATATGTATATATACATGCATGCTTAACCGGATGCGAAAGCTTTGTCCGAATTTGGACAAAGAAGATGGGCTGGAGACGGTGCTTGAGGTGCCGATACCGGAGGAAATGTTGGGCTGCGGCCAGGGGCGGATCTAGCAATGCCATTCAGGTGGGGCCAAAATTTGCTTAAGTTTTTTTTCAAAATTATTTTGCTAGTATTAAAATAAAACTTATTTACACAAACATGATTAATGCTTACTACAATGTAGTGTCATGGTAACTTAAGTTTAAAAGTTAAACACAAATTACTATAATTTCATTACTACTCTAGTCATTAGTCATGTTTTTGTAAGCAATCTTTATTTCAGCCATATATATGTAGTTATTTCTTTAATTAAATACTCCGTAACGTATGTATATTGCAAAAAAAATGTCAAAATATAGTAAAATAGTACTAGTAAGTTATTTAACAAAAGTTAATTTCAAATATAAAATAATATTTGTTGCAACATAAATGTGAAAGACAAAAATAAATGCTTCCACGATTGTGATTTTTGCACAATCTATAAACCTTACTTTGACCACGATTTTCTACTAATATACATAATCAAATTATTATGTATAAAATGTTTTTGAATTCCTATCAATGTGAATTTCCAAAATATCAACTTTTTATAATGTTTACTAATACGTAATTAAATATAATTACAGTCAAAGTTGTGCATTGGCAAACGTGAAAGTCAAGCTGTTACAAGAATTAAAGAACGGAGGATAGTATAACAATAATAAGAATTTTTGTCAAATATAAAAAACACATCAAGCCCATACATATTGAACTAATTTTCACCTACCAAGTCCAATTAATTGAAAAAAACATTGTTTAGGCTAATATTCAAAAGCGTTCACAATATCTAATTGAGATTGGTGTTAAGTTGGTAGTAGTTGAAGTTAGGAGAGTAAATTTAAATATATGTATGTGAAGGGAGAATTCTTTTATTCTTCACGTGGGGGAAAAGAAATTTTAAGAAAGAAAATTGAAATTCTTAAACAACATAGCAATATTGCTCTCCCATTGAAAGTATACAAAAATTACCCTACATGGGCTTCGTTCCCAATACCCTACACAAAAAATTACCCTACATGGGCTAGCTAGACGGTTTGACCATCTTCCATCTTACCAACACAACAAGTGAGTACAAATTGGCTTTTTTTTTACTTATACCAAACTTAACGACACAATATATAAAATTATGCAGATATATACTGGTAATTTTTATATTTTTGAGTGTGGGCCTAGGCCCTCCCTGGCCCATAGCTAGATCCGCCTGCGGCAACACCGCCGTGGGCTGGAACAACCTCCGCCATCGCATGAAGGCTTACCAAAAGTCGTCGTCCTCTTCCCCGCCGTCGTCTGATCACGATGAAAATCTTTTCCTGCTTAAGATCGTGGGCTCCGCCTTAATCCCTTTCAAGGCTCAATCTGATCGTGCCCTCACCATGCCCGTCCGTGATTGTTCCATTGTAAGTCAACACAACTTTTTATTCATTAATTAATGATATTTTACATGTTTGTTAGGTGTTTTGACTTTGGATGTTACATTCCGCCCATCATTTTAGTAATTATTCAGACGTATTTAAATTTGTTAGTCATATAGTATATACTACGTATGTATGCCCTAATTAAGTGTTTTGTAGAGTCAAACACTTTCCATCAATTGAAGTTAAAATTAAATTATCTTATTTTTGAGAGAAAATTAAATCATCCTATTGATAATTAGTTCAATTTTAGCAATTAAAATTTAAATATTTTCAAACTACATTAAAATCTCTACAAAGTTGCAAAATTCAAATTAAAATTTAATTAAGAATTGATATCCTAATTAAGTAAATAATGAATTTGTTTGATAAAAAAATCAATTTTGCAACTTAATTTAGGACGGTGAGAGTATTAATTAAGAATCTATATATGTATGTCCCTAATTGTTTTGCAGAGTCAAATTAAACACTTTTCATCAATTGATGTTAAAATTAAATTATCTTATTTTTGAGAGAAAATTAAATCATCCTAGCTGAACCTTTTCCCTAAAATCCTGAAAATTAACTTTGACAAATTTAATGACACGTAAAATGAACACTATGTTGTACAAATGGAATGAAAATTGAATTTTGAAAGATTAACCAGCTAGATAATACGAGCTAATTAAACAAAACGGATCGATTCTAAGGATGTTTTCTTTTGGACTGTTTTCAGTCCCAGACCAGACCAGACCAGACTTAAACAGACCAGATCAGACCAGATCAGACTTAAACAGACCAGACCAGACCAGACCAGACTTAAACAGACCAGACCAGACCAGACCAGACTTCCGTAGTTATAAAATACACAGAGACCAGACGTTTACCAGACCAGACCAGACCAGTTCAGACCAGACCAGACCAGACCAGACTTAAACAGACCAGACCAGACCAGACCAGACTTAAACAGACCAGACCAGACCAGACCAGCAAATTTCAGTCCAAAAGAAAACATCCTAAATGGTACCTTAAAGAACGACTCTCTTTCCATATTTTTTTAATCCTGCAACATTAAACTAGCGGTATAAGTAATTCAATATCTCACATACATATTATTGATTTAATATTTGATACGATGCGACAAACAATTAATCTTTTAATTCGTCGGAAAAGACGTTGCCTGCATCGAATTGTCCGAAAAAAAGTATGCTATATGTATGGTAGAAAAGTTCTTAAATTGAAAAGAATTACTCCGTATTAGTTTAATGACCAAATTTGCAACTAAACAAAGTTACAGAACTAATAACGGGTACAATCAAAAGTCACAGGCCTGAAATTGCAATTCTCTCTTCTTCATTTATTGCAACATTTTATTTTCATGTTTGTCAACGCACAATGTACGTACCTTTAACTATTGATATATTTCATTTCTTATTAGTAAAAAAAATCATATTTTGAAATCTAAAATGAGAACAATTTAAGAATTTAGCAATATCTTTTCAAAATTAAATTTCTAGTACAATATTAAATAAAACTGAATCTAGGTAGAGCATATAAATAATTTAAAATTCAACATGTTTCATCTATTTAAAGATAGGCAATTGAATTTATAACTACATGTACAAGGAAACAATAGGAGGCTTCAACGGCAAGATATATAGTGCAACAATACCTAGCAGCAACAGGAGGCCTTGGCGTGTTGAATTCAATCAAGAATATGTACGCGGTGGGGGAGGTGAAGATGACAACCTCGGACGTGCAAAAGGGCGGCGGTCAGCGGCGGCTGCAGGCTTCAAACACCGCCATGCGCAACAATTGTGAGGTTGGGGGGTTTGTGTTATGGCAAAAGAACCCTGACCTGTGGTTCCTTGAATTGGTCATCTCCGGCTGCAAGATCAGCGCCGGCAGTGATGGCAAGGTTGCTTGGACTCAATCCTCTTCCAACTCTAATCCCTCCAAAGGCCCTCCCAGACCACTCCGAATGTTTTTCCAGGTAAGTATATATATATATATATATATATACATAGTATATTGTTTGCTTTTGTATAATCCATGAATAATACTCCATACAAGAACAAATTGGAATAATATTTAAACCAATATATATGGTTTTGTGTATAAAAGCTTAAGACACTTAATTAGAGCACTGGGAATATAATGTTTCACTTGGTTATTTTTTTTGTTCTAATATAGTTTGGTTCAAGTCTAATTATAAAGTGATGGTTTGGGAAGTTATGGGTTTGGGAAGTATATCTTGTACACCACTTCAAAATTAAAGTGATGGTGATATACTCCTTTTATTTTAGCTTCATGTGATCCCATCTTGTGTGCATGGATCAAAGCAATATTAACGGAATTGAAAGTAACAAATTTCTTATTATGAGGGAAATAAATTGAAGTGATAAATATACTATTATAATTTTTAACATTACTTCATTTTTCCTATTTGTTTGTCAACATTTTGATTTTGTTGGTGTTCCTTCAATTCATTTGAATTGTACGTTGTTAAGAAAATCATTTAATACTTTGTCACTGATAATGCTTTTCTCAACTTGGCCGTTAAAACTAAATATTAGGGGCGAGCAAAAATACCAAACCGGCATGGTACCGGATCGGACAGGTATTGTACCACACCGATAAACGGGATTTGAAATCGATCTCATTTTTTTTGTCCCGAACCGGACCGTACTGGTTCCAAACAATGCCATGAAGGGTTCTCATAAAATGAGAATCAGTACTGGACTGAACAAGACCGAAGTATAGTTAAATTACTTAAATTTATACTATTATAGTTTATCTAAAATTTATTAGTTACCTTATCTGTCCCAAACTCATTTGCAAAGTCAACATTTTTTATCAATGTTAATGTTAAGTCCTCCCTAATGATAATTAATAATCCGTACAATTTTTAATAATTAAAATTTACATATGTAGAAACCACATTAAAATATCTAGCTTTAAAATTGCAAAATCCAAATTAGAATATACGAAGTATTTTTTCCTGAAAGGCCAAATTAGAATATAATTAAAAAGCGAAATCTTAATTAAATGAATAAAAAAACTTTTTGACCAAAAAAAGGTTGACTTTGCAAATCATTTTGGAACAGAGGTAGTATGAAATATGAAAATTGTTAAATTGTGTGGATTGTTGGAGAATGCCTAAACTTTAATTTTTCCTTAAACACTTAGAAAAAGTGACATTATTTGGCATTGGTATGGCATGGTACCGTCCCGTTTGAAACTGGACCGTACCAAATAGGTTTAGGCCAGAAGACCGAACCGAACTGAACCGAACCGAACCGTTTCAATAGTAACGATACGGGTACGGGTCGACCAAGTATTGGACCGGACCAGACTGTGCCCACCCCTACTAAATATGTAACGCACCACAAAGAAAGATTTAACATATGGAGTAAAGAACAATATATCAAACAAGAACTCGCCTAAAATTGGAGTATTGGACTTTAGAAACCGACACAACATATTAAAACGTACCAAGACTAATGACAAATACAAATTGACAATTGTAAACATAACTAAATCATAATAGACTGGAACCCATAATTAAATTGTTATGTTCGATCAGTTTCAATTTGTTGGTAAAACCAAATAGATCAAACCCAAACAATGTGCACCTCTATGAGATTACATATCAAGTTTTATGACTTATGATCGAGCCCATATATACGAGTAAATATGTTATGGATCGGAAAAGCTTTATTTATTTAATAAAACCCATAGACAACATCATGAATATGGTTTTTTTGGATATATAAAGCACACATGTAAGCTAATTATAAATAGATAGACAAATGAAAGGTGAGCTTTCTTCAAATCTTGGTGAGGAAGTGAAAGATATTATGATGAATATTCTTTTTTTTTAATATAGGGACTTGATCCGAGATCAACGGCAAACCTATTCTTGAACGGGATTTGCATTGGGGAAAAGAAAGTAGGGGAAGAAGAGTGTTTCATAGTGAAGGTGGAGACAAGTGCAGAAGTGTTGAAAGCACAAAGCACATCCAACACGAACGCCGTTCACCACACAATGTGGGGAAGTTTTAGCCAAAGAAGCGGTCTCCTCACCCAATTTCAAGACACCAAGTTGGTAAGGCTGAAGACGACATCCGGCGACGATGATGATCGGAGCGTGTTCTGGGAAACAAACATGGAATCTGTGTTGGAAGACTATAGATATGTCGAGGGAGTCAACATTGCACATGGAGGGAAGACTATTGCTATGATATATAGGTATGGGGATGATAAGAGCTATAGGGCAAAGATTGAGGAGACTTGGAGAATTGAGGAGATTGACTTTAATATTTGTGGTTTGTGTCGGGATTCCTTTTTACCACCCGCATACTAAGTCAAATTGGTTGTATATGGGACTAAAAAGTCCGGATATGCTCACATGGGAGTGTTTTTGTTCTTGTTCTTAAATAGGACCATATTTCCGTATTATTCCTATTTTACCCTTAATTATTTGTCCGCTCCACTTAAGTTCCAAGACCCTTGTTCCTTTTCTCTTTGTTTTCTATTTGCTTCGCAGGTAATGGTGCTCAACGACACCCAGGCAGCGGACGACAAAGTCATGGACGATGATGGGATGATGAATTGAAAGCAATCGGAAAATTCCATGAACGGCGGTGAGGTGTTGCACACAGGATGACTGCAAAAGTCCGACATAACAGGTTCTCGGTTCATCTTTTCGTCGCAGGAATACCGGAATAGAGCTCAGAGGTATGCGTGGTATTTGGTTGTTAACAAATTCCAAAGATAATCTGAAATGCCATCAAAATGGCATTCTTACACTTCAAAAATTCTAGATTTTGTTGTGAAAATGCCATTTGGATGACATTCTGGATTCGTGTTTGGCATTTCGATAAAAATGTTGGCATAAGCGACGGGATTTGTCAGATCTACATCGGCGTAGGTTAGATCTCTAACGGTGGAGGTCGGATCTAATCTGGCGGTGGCCAAATCTGCAAGACCGGCAGCTGGCTGCCAGGGGTGGCCAGATCTGCTCAGATCTACGGCGGCAGAATAATCTGCGGCGGCAACGGCCAGATCCGTAGTGGCAGTGACCAGATTTGCGCCGGCGACTAGTTCGGCAGTAGTTGCGGTGGCCGGCGGCGACTGGAGACCGGAGGCGGCATGGTGTTTTGTCGGCTGTAGTAAGTTAACTTGAGGGTATATCTGCGCAGATACAAATATTAACTCTTATTTGGGTCTTGAGCGATTGAACAAAACATGCAATATTTTTTGTGAGTAATGTATGTGCACAAACATTATTTTTTTCTGAGTAATATTTTAGTTTTTTCAACTTGATCTCTACAAAATTTGTCTATGACAAAACTAATAATCTTCATCCTATGCAACCCATGTGAATAAAAAGTTGATACAAATATCATTTTTTAATTGCTATTTGGTCACTCCCTAAGTCTAGATTAATCTTTAAAAAATGTGAAATAATAACTGAGGTTAACATTCTTTGAAAAAGGGAAAACAATACGTTAAAGAACAATAATAGAACGTTTGTTTAAAAGAAAATGAAAGAAAGTAATTTTGAGACATGTGAAAGAACAAATAATTACGATACAAATGCAATTGAATAAAAAATAACAATTGAAGTTAAATTGTTTTTCCCCAAATTCCTAAACATACCCCTAATGAAAAACAATGTGTATTCAGGGTAAATTCGTAAAGTGAAATAGGGTAGGGGGAGATAGCGAGTAAACAATGTGTAATCAGGGTTGTTTACCCCAGGGCCGGCCCAGGGGGTGTGCAGGGTGTCCGACCGCACAGGGCCCAAAAATATGGAAGGCCCAAAAAAATAAATTAGTAGTAGTATTACTACTAGTTTACTACTCCGTATAAGCTAGTCAGCCCAATAACGAACAAAAAAGTGCGGGACGAGCATAGCAATCTGCGAAAGAGGAAGCGCATAGGCCAAAGGGCATAACGAGTGACTGAGCGAGACGAGCGACGTGCGGACGACTCTCCGTCTCCAGGCTCTGCTCCAGCCTCGAGCCATCCTGATTTCTAAGTTGCTACGGCGATTCGGACACATCTAGGACGGAAGGACTCCACTATTCTAGGTATATAAATTCGTAACTAATAGAGAGTAATAATGGTTCTTTATAAATTAATTTTGTAATCTGAGTTCAACAAAATGATATTAATAGGTTCTTAGGCTGTTAAATTTGTTTTTGTTTCACTATATAACTTTATACGTAAATAAATTTTTTTCTTGGATTTATTACTTCTAGATAATACTAGCAACTTCTATTTTGAAATAATTTTTTAATAAATTACAACTACTCCGTATTAACAATTTATCATTTCAATTGAAACAGCATTTCTATTAACGATAGAAAAGAAATGTCTGATTTTTGTTGTTGCACAGGGCCCTCGTTTTCTCGGGACCGGCCCTGGTTTACCCCTACCCTATTTTACATTTTTACCCCTCTAAAAAAACAATGTGTATTCAGGCTAAATTTTGTTTAAGCATACCACCCTCGATATTTTATTTTATTGAAAGCGTGTGGCACTTTAAATTAATAAGCACCTCTAAACGACCAACACGATTTTAATAATAATTTTTAGAGATACTGGCGGCTCTTTTAAGTGCACAACTCGCCTCCACATTGCAAAGTAAACGTGTCCCTATAGAAGTACCCTACTATCTTAGCTTATTACTAGGGGTACAGTTATGCACTAATTATGTGTAATACTTCTGCCCATACATTAAGAACACGTTTACTTCACGGGTTACTAAACGGTGATTATTAAGATTCGGGTTAATAAGCGACATACTCCCTCCGTAACTTTAAATCTTCTCATTTGAAAAGTAGGTAGATTAAGAATAGTGAAAGAGAATATGAATTATTGAGGGTATGATAGGAAGATAGTGGAATAAGGTGATGGAATGTAGGATAAATCCGAAAAAAGTAGTTGTAATAGTGTATTATTTTCATAATTATTGAGGGTATAATGGGAAGATTTAGAAATGAGAAGATTTTTTTGTTACGGACGAAAAAGGAAACTGGGAAGATTTTAAAGTTACGGAGGGAGTATAAAATAAGCAGTGTTGTAAGCTCATGTTTACTTCAAAAGATTTTAAACACTAGTTAACATTAAAATGTCCAAAATAACCATACATATATAGACACACAAACATTCATGAACATAAGTACATAATATAATATGTGGGGTCACCTCGTACGTGTAACCATACCCCTAACCCCTTCCGTGTAACCCGTACCCCCTACCCTACCCCCAATCCCATACCATTGACCCCTACCCTTACCCTCTACCCCTACTCCCCCTATAACCCTTCAAACCCCATACCATACCCCCTAACACGTACCCTACTTGTAGGGGTGGGGTCGGGGTGGGGGTAAGGGGTTCGGGGGTGGGGGTAGGGATAGGGATGGCGAAGGGTGAAGTTCGGGATCAGGTGGGGACGACGAGGTAGGGGCATGTGATAGGGGTAAAGGGGTGAGGTCGGGGTAGGGTAAGGGGTTACGGTGGGGTGGTGGTACGTGGTAAGGTGTTAACTGGGGTAGGGGGTAGAGTAGGTAGGATGGAGTAAGGTGGAGTGGGGGTGGGGGCAGTGGTATGAAATGGGTAGGGCCGGAGTAGGGTAAAACTGTATGAGGGTAGTGGTCGGGGGTAGGCTAGTGGTTGCGAGTGGGGTGGTGGGGGTAGGGTAAGGGATTACAAGTGGTGTGGGTAGGGTGGTGGTAAAGGCTAGGGGTCGGGTCGGGTCAGGATGGGAGCCGAGGTAGGGGTATGTGATAGGGGGTAAAGGGTCGGGTAGTGGGTTACGGGTGGGGTAGGGGATGGCGTAGGGTGGTGTCAGGACCACCTGAGATATGGTCATGTGATATGGGGGTAAAGGGGTGGGATAGGATGGTGGGGTCGGGTATGGCAAGGGTTACATGTGAGGGTGGGGTCGGGGGCCATGGCAGGGGGTAAAGGGGTAGAGTCAAGGTGGGGTAAAAGGGTATAAGGATAGGATCGGGGTAGGTTGGGTAGGGGGTGAGATCGAGGTGGGGGTCGGGCTAAGGTAGGGTATGGTAGGGGCGCAGTGGGTAGAGGGAGTAGCGATTAGAGGGGTAAAATAGGGTAGGGGGAGGGGTAAGGCTAAATTCGTAAAGTGAAAAAGATTAATGTGCCACCTAAAACCTAATTAATACATGGGGTGGTATGCTTAGATGCTTGGTAAGCGGCACTTTAAGCACCTCTTTCGGTTAGTAAGTAGTTTTTTAACCAGTTTGCTTGTTTACTTCACCTGTCTTACTAATCCAACTCTGACTTTAGCAACGAAGTAAATGTCTCCTAAATTTTGTTAATTTTCTTTTCCTAACATGTAAATATTTTTCCACACTATTTTACTTTTGTAATAAGTAACATGCCTTTTGATATACCATACTACAGTAAAAAAAAAGTAGCATTGCCTTTAATTTTAGAGAAAAGGGTCAAATAAGTCCATCTACTAATATCAAAACATCATTTAAACCCTTATACTTAATAAAGCATCACATAGACACTCTTACCAGTGAAAAACAATCAACCAACCCCAAGTGACTAGGATGCAACCGGTACTTGTAGGTAATGCTTCCGTTTTCTTTTGTTTACCCTTTCTTCTTTATTCTTGCTTTGCCCAGTTGCCGCACCCCCGTTCCGTTACAAACTCCAAACTACGTTAGTCTCTTGTTTTTTTTAACTTTTTTGCTTTTCTTTTTCTTTTCTTCATCCTTTTTTTTTTACATAATTTTCTTCATTCTTTTTATCGTTTGTGTGTGCATTTACCTAGATTAATTTATTCTTTTCATTTTTTTCTCTATTTCGTTCATGGTCTATTTTTTCATTTATTGTTGTTATTGTTATTATTATTATTATTATTATTATCATCATCATCATCATCATCATCATCATCATCATCATCATCATCATCATCATCATCATCATCATCATCATCATCATCATCATCATCATCATCATCATCATCATCATCATCATCATCATTACTATTACTATTACTATTACTATTACTATTACTATTACTATTACTATTACTATTACTATTACTATTACTATTACTATTACTATTACTATTACTATTACTATTACTATTACTATTACTATTACTATTACTATTACTATTACTATTACTATTACTATTACTATTACTATTACTATTACTATTACTATTACTATTACTATTACTATTACTATTACTATTACTATTACTATTACTATTACTATTACTATTACTATTACTATTACTATTACTATTACTATTTGATGGACAATCTACCCGGGGGTATCTTATCCGAGGGGTTATTGGGGGAATAACTTAGAGAGAAGTCAGAGTAAATAGGAGGAGAGAGAGTTGATTTTATTAAATGAGCTCAGCGTGGTTTACAAGGAGAATAAGGGCTGCTATTTATAGCAGCAATAAATGCGATGAGAGGACACGTGTCAGTAATCCAACGGCTGAAGGGTCACATCAGCAGGTTGGCACCGGCAGTGGTACGTCCACCGCATTGAATGCGGTTGGCGGATGTGACGTGGCATTAAATGCGGTGGTTGGCTGTCGCTAAAAGGAATCTTTGATGACTGAGCGTGTTCGGCCGAAGGTTCCTTGCGTAGCCGAGGGCTCCATGTAATCGAGGACCCTTGTGCGGCCGAAGGCCTGGCGTGATAGTGCCGAAGGCTTGGTCCAACCGGAGGCTTCTCCGGTGCCGAGGGCTTGATAGTGCCGATGGCTCACGTTTTTCGCCGTTTTTTCCCAGTAGCTTCTTATGCCAGAGAAGGCTGTCCTGCGAGTTTTGGAGCCTTCGGCCAAGGAAGCCGAAGGCACCCCTAGTGTGCGTTTTGGGCTATGTTGAGGCTTGGGCCGCCGTATTTGGGCCTGAGTTGTTCTCTCTGCCCAATGGACTTGTGTAGGAGAAGTGGGAGTCTATGGGCCGGGGGTTCCTGGGCCATATACTCCATCACTATTACTATTACTATTACTATTACTATTACTATTACTATTACTATTACTATTACTATTACTATTACTATTACTATTACTATTACTATTACTATTACTATTACTATTACTATTACTATTACTATTACTATTACTATTACTATTACTATTACTATTACTATTACTATTACTATTACTATTACTATTACTATTACTATTACTATTACTATTACTATTACTATTACTATTACTATTACTATTACTATTACTATTACTATTACTATTACTATT